ACACATTGTTAACTGGATCAACAATGAAGCCAGAAGCAGCTTGGGCCTCAAGAAGCTCCAGGGTGGTTCCTCTCATGAGAAGACCATCCTTCAATGCCTGATAGAAAGGCAAGATACTGTCTTTGGCCTCATCATATATACCCGCAATACAGGTAGAGCCGTAAAGATAGGACTTCAACTTGTCTTCAATGTCTTTGCTTGTGATTTTGCCTTGGTTGAGCTTCTGCAAGTCAGTTTCATCCAGCAGTTCAGAGTCGACGAGCTCTGTGAGAGTGACTTCACCACGGAGTCCCTTTAGTGTCACTTGATTTGCTGGCTTTTCTGGACCACGGAGGAGAAGCAAGCCAGAAGCAGGTTCTATTGTACACTTATTCTTTAGGCCATTATAGCTTATCTTCTCTCCTGTCGCCGGATCCAGATAGCAGGTAGGTTTTTTGTTCAAAGCCCTGTAGAGCTCCTCATTAATAAGATTGCGATCCAAAGCCAGATCCTTTGGAAGAAACACACTCAGAACAGGATCCAGTATGCCTCCAACAGACTCCTGAGCCTGTAGCAAGCGGATGGCTGTGTTTTTGTCTATACGGCCCTGTTTGCAAGCCTGACCCACAGATAACACTTTGCCAGTGTATGGATCTTTGAAGCCTATGCTAGCTGCTTCAGCTGTCACCAAGGTGTCTCTGTCTTTTGTGTCTACAAGTCCTCTGGAACAGGCAGTATCCACAGGCATCTTCTCATCAAATGCGGGGTCCACTATGTAGCCTGTTGCTGCTTGAGCTTCCAAAAGCATGAGGGCACTCTCTGGACTGAGAAGGTTCTTGTTTTTGGCTTCAGTGAATGACATTTTCCCTTGAGAACTTGTTGTCATGCCGGCAATAATGCCAGTTCCCTTTAGACTAAGCTGGATGTCTATAGCTACCTCTTCCACTGTTTTTTGTCCCTTTAGGAGCTGGTCTAGAGTGGCTTTAGTGATTATGCCACAGTCACAGAGCTGGTGGGCTGTGACTTTGCGGCGCACCCCATCAAACACCAGCTTGGATGGATCAATTGTTGTAACCTTCTCATCTGTCTGGGTCTGCCTGGTCAGAGTGCTGGGTCTCTGCTGCAGCCTCCGCAGCTCTCTCTCCATGGCATCTCTTTTGAGAGCCAGGTCTGATGCTTCTTTTTCAGAGCTAAGCAACCTACTCTTGTACCTGTCCTCAACAACCCTCAACTCCCTCATGAGTCTCTCAATCTCATTCTTCAGTGAGAGCCTCTCACGGCCAGCTTTGTCTCTGTCTGATTCACACTGCTTGATCTGGGTATCTCTCAGCTCAAACTGGCTCTTCATATAGTTGAAATCCTTGAGGATGGAATTCTTTTCATCCTGCAGTCGCTGTTTGTTGCGGAGTTCAGTTTCTAGTGTGAGTTTGATGCGGTTGAGCTCTTCTTCTAGACGCTGTTGACGATTCTTGTCCTGGTCCAGCAGTTTAAGCTTTGATAGCAGACTATCCTTCTCCCGCTGCAGGTCGTTGTATCTGCTTTGCGACTCATGCACCGTGATGGATGTCTGTGGAGAGATAAGAGAACTGGTTGTTAGGTCTATGCAAACATAGGCAAAAAGTCAAAACTCTAATCAACTAATACATATGGAGTACACATAATTTTTTAGCTGTAAGTTGTACTGTAAGAACTTAGACACATAAAATTGTCATGACTTTAATTTATGATGTCAAAATCCAACTTCATGATCTTCACTTGTCAGTAAACTTAATGATATTGTACTTGTTAGTATACAGTGTTTAATAAAGTGATTGTTATTTTAGCATGAGTGAAATTTAGTGACATAATGTGCAAAGTAAAAGGGTGGAAAACATGCACATCCAGACCAGAGCATTTGTAAGTAAGAAAATTTCAAGCAAAACCTTTAAAAATATCTAATACTGAACATGAATGTAGCAGGGCTACTTTAAAACCAAGTCCAGTCTTAAAGCATCTATTACCAGTCATGCAAATCAGCAAGGAAAAAAAAAAAGAAAGTTGAATTATGTGGAGATCATCCTTCAGTTCAGTCAATAATACCTCAATTGATTGCTTTTGGAATTTGTCTAGTTCCAATTTAAGCTTTTCTCTCTCCTTGGTCAGGTCATTGATGAGAGCCTGGAGCTCCGCTGTCCTCTTGTTGCTACTCTGAAGCTGGACATGCAAGGCTGAGATCTGAGCGGCACTTTCTCCATCAATAGTATCTTTGCTACGTTTCAGCTCATCTCTCTCGATTTTAGCTGCCCTCAGCTCCTCCTCCAACCTGAGTCTGTCTTTCGTCAGGTTCTGCGTCAGAGTCTTCAGCTTTTCAATCTCTGTAGTGTATTCATTGAGCTGCCGGCTCTTCTCCTCAATAGTCTTATACAAGCTCTCATTACGTTGGTTGAGCTCATAAATTCGAGCGTCTTCCTGCAGGAGCTTCTGTTTCAGTGCTCTCAGCTCAGCTATTACAGCTGCCAGTTCCTCCTTGGTGACTTTATGGTCCCGTAGGCTCTTGTCCAGAGCATCCTGTAGGGTCCTGAGATCCTGCTCATACTTCATACCAGTGGTGGAAGCCTCTAGCTGAACAGATTTCAGCGTGTTAATTGTAGTTGTATGTTCTCTGCAGGCATTTGTCATCCTCTCCAACTCAGCCTCCATTCTCTTTCTACGTGTGAACTCTTCTTGGAACGTCTTCTTTTGCTTCTCCAACTCAGCCTCCATACCATCCAGAGAACACTGAAGATCACGGATACGGCTCTGCAACCTGGCAGAATTCTGCTCGACCTTAGTTTTCTCACTGGTTTGCTTCTCCAGCTCCACTCGGGTGATGCGGATCTCCTGCTCAGAAACTTTAAGCTTGTTAATTTGCTCCAGATAGGAGGTGCTTTTTGCTTTCAGCTCTGCCTCAGCCTGTTTCAAGCGATTGATTTCTAGTTCCAGAGCTCTCCTTTTCTTCCCCTCTTCATCCAGGTTAAATGTTAGCATGCTAATCTGCCGGGATTTTTCCTGGTTGGTTTTGGTGGCCTCCTTTAATTTGGCCTCATCATCACCTCTCTGTGTCATGAGTGATTTCAGCTGCACCTCCAGTTCACTGCGTATCTTCGTCTCTTGTGTCACTGAGGCCCTCTGCTGGCTGGCCTCCTGCTCTGCTCTGAGTTTCTGTTCTTCACTAAAAGCAATGGACTGCCTCAGTCTCCTCAGTTCATCCTCTAGACCTCTCTTCTCAGCAGTCACTCTGTCAACTTGCAGTCTCAGCTCTGCTGTGTCTTCATCTTTCTGTTGTGAGGCTTTCAGGATTGTGGTCTTGGTTATGTGGATCTCTTTCTCATGTGTCTGTTTAAGTTGATTAACCTCCTGGGTGCACAGTGTTCTTACCTTTGAGATTTCTGATTCAGCATTTCGCCGACGTGCCGCCTCCTCCTCTAGCAGCATCTTCAGCCTCTCTAGTTCACGTTCCTTGTCCTTCACAGTCTTTTCTAAGTCAATCTTGGTCCAATTAAGCTCTTCCTGTTCTTTCTGTCTGCGACGAACTGCTGCCTCGTACTCTTCTTGCTGGCTGGTGTAGCGCTCCTCTGCCAGCCTTCTTTTCCTCTTCTCCTCCTCTAGCTGGTATTTAATGCGGGTCAGCTGGTCATTAAGATCTTGAAGTTGGTTGTGTGTGCTGTCCAGGTTCTCCTTGGCTGCATTAGCTTGCATTGCTGTGGTTCTCTTCACTTCCTCAATAGAAATGATCTGCTCTTTTGACTGAGTGAGCTCCAGCTTGTAGCGGTTCAAGTCATCCTCCAGAGACTTGTTTTTCTGAAGACGATTCTGGAGGTCATCCTTCAGACGCCTCAGTTCCTCCTCCAGCATTTCAATCTTGGTATTCCTGATCTGAGAAGGCAACGACAAAAAGAGGAAGAGCCTGAGTCACTTAAATTCATATTGTTAAACAGTGATGAAGGGCATCATATGAATGCAATACTTACCTTCAACTCTTCCATGTTCTTCAGCAGCTCCCCTAGGAACTTGTAGTAGTCACTAGAGCGGGTAAGTAGCTCTATATAGCGGGACTGGAGGTCAGCCGCCTGATGGAGTTAAAATTAGTGTATGAGTACTGATGTCAAATTTTCAGGTGTTAATTACATTTCAGATTTATCCTTAAATGACATGTGCAATTAAGGAACTTTAAACTGGCTGTATTATATGAGACTGTAATATAATATGAGGAAATAACCACCGTTTAATTGATATTTAACAAACAGATGATAAACAGGGCTTGATAAATATCATTTAAATAGGTCATAACTAGCAGAATTTTGATTTGGTCAGCAAAAGTGTATTAATAATAGATAAATGAAAATTTGATTAGTGTGATTTAAGGGAGAGTCAGTGCTCATACCTCTTGCCTGACCACTGATGCAGGGGACTGTAGCATTGTCCTCTTAATAGGAATATTAAGCAGTGTTTCCAGGCCTGAACTGTAGGAAGCCAGCTGCAGCTCATAGTCCTGAAAAAACAAAACGATAAACTTCATTCTGTACCATCCTTGTTGATGTCAGCTTTGCAGTATCTGTGACATTATTCTGAACTGAATGAAAACAGCATATATTATCTGATTTCCAACCTTTATGGAGGTAGCACAGGTGTCTGCATTTTTCTGCACATCTTCTACTTTCTCCCTCCTTCCTTTAATTTCAGTGTGAAGTGCCTGTGTAGTAAGAAAAAGAGGAGTTAAATTTAATGATTTAAATCAGACCATCCAGTCTGTGCTTCTTCTAAGACACCCAGTACGTTATTGGACAAAAGTTCTAATTATTTTATTACTTATTATAAGCTATTAATCAACAAAAACATTGTTCACTTAATGCTCTTGATCTAAAAGGCTAGCAAGTTGATTTCATCAATCATCTGAGAAACAATTTTACTAAATCTTCAACAATACATATGCTGTGTGACTGTAAAAACCCACACAACTACATCAGTGCTCACAGCTGTCAGCATCCCACAGTGTAAATTCTTCATATTTTTATATTTTTATTTCGAAACTAAATCAATCCTGTTTGAATATTGTTATTGATAAGAGTCTGCTGATGTGACCAAGGAAAGACATGCCTTCTGTTGGTTGAGGTGGTCCATTAGGGTCTGGATATCATTGAGCTTAACCATCTGAAGGGTATCCTGGCGCTTCCTGGCATTGTCTATCCACTGTTCCAGGGAAGTGCTGCTCTGCTGATAATGCTTCAGCTGTTTCTCCTGCTTCTCCAAGTCCCACATTCTGAGGAGGGAGGCAAGAGTGGGAGGCAGAGGGAG